AATCCCAATGCCCAAGAGTCGGTGGTTCGAGTGATCCCTCGGACATTGCTACGCGCACGTCGTGCCACGACCACGTGTTCAAATGGATCGATCCAAATCTTAATGGGGTGGAGTGGTGTGACAACCACTAAAAGTAAAAAGAAATGAGGGGTTATAAAGTAAAACGTATGCACGTATTAAGTGTTCCTTTTGAAGGAAGAGATTAAATACTATCAAATGTGAGTGAAGGCTCCAGGGTGGCTGTCCCCTCCCCCCAAGATGCAAGCGCGATATATAAACATAAGTGAATGAAATAAAAGACTTTATTCATCACATACACGGATATCGAGATGATTGCACATGTTAAATGCAAGAAAAATCCTAAAAAAGGAAAAATGTAATAAATGCAAGAAAAACCCTAAAAAAGGAAAAATGCAATAAATGCAAGAAAAACCCTAAAAAAGGAAAAATGCAACCTAAATCCTCCAAATGTGATATATAAAAAGGTTAAAAGAAGAAAAGAATTGACTAAATCAAATGCTCGGACTCTCTAAAGTCCCCAGTGGAGTCGCCAAGCTGTCACACCCTATTTTTAATGAAAAATATAACGTGTTTAGAAAATGAATTTTTGATTAATTTTTGAGTGAAAAATGAGTTTTGATTTATTTTGAGTAAAAAGGAGTTTTTGATTTTTAGAAAAATAAATGAAGAAAATGGGCCTAAATGGAACTTAAAGTGCAACGATTTTGACCTAAAATAATATTTTAAAAAGGGTTTTTAATGAAAAAATAGGAGTCGCCACTTGGTATTGAGTTAAGGTGTACCAAATCACCTAAAATGAATTTTTTTTAAAGAAAAAATATAGAAAACCCTTTTAAACGACTCCAAATCTGCGAAAATCAAGAAAAAAGGGGTCGGGAGTCACATTTGAAGAAAGGGAAGGCGAGGATAAATTCCAAGGCACCCTTTCATCCTAACCAAGACTAGTTGCGTGATAAGTCAAAAAATTTTCTTATTTTTAATATAAGAATTTATCACATTTGGATGTCACTATATGCATGCAAAACCTAAACCTAGAAGGATATCGTGGGGTCAATATGTCTCTTCGAATTTTAATTGATGTAAATCGCATTAATTATGACGCCCAAAAGTAATGATTTGAAGAGGTCACAAATATGCAACAATGAGACTCCAAAAAAAGAAAAGAAAATAATAATTATACAAATATACATGACCTAAAGGAATGTATCATAACGGATGCGGGGGTTAAAATTCGTGACTCAATTTTTCCTTTTAAAGAGGGAATACGAGCGTGCTAAGGTTAGAAAAGCCATACTTATCCATATCCCATATTCGAGGTGTATTTCCTATCTAATCAAGCAAATGATCTAAGTTAACTCTTATTTTCTTAAATGGAATGCATGTCTAAAATGTTATGTTTTGCACATGGGGATAAGGGATATATATAGGGGAAATATGCGATAAGGGATATATATATAGGGGGAAATATCATGCAAAAATGGTAAGGATTCTAAAAAGTAGAAAAATATGCAGGAAATGTAATGATTTGTCACACAAATATGATCTAATGCGTGGACGGTCTCTAAGGGTCTAGCATTGGACTAGCCCATGTCTACAAGTTCTCACTAGCATTGGACTAGCGAGAAATCAAGAAAATAGGGCCACAACTAGCGTTAGACTAGTGTGGTGACGTCAGGCATTTATTATAACTAAACAAATCAAATAAACATAGTAAAAGCAATTAAACAATCACATAAAACACATAGCACATAAGCATGATATCTAGATGCAAAGACCCTAAGAAAGCGAATAACAATAAGCACACAAGCTTGCAAAACACACAAACAAATAAAAGCAAATAGAGACCTAACTATTACATTTGGGGACCCTAACTACAATCTAAGGGGGGAAAGAATGAATAAAATAGTTACCTAACTATTACATATTCTATCTAAATACATGTCTTGAACCCCCTAACTATCACAATTTTGGCATTTAATCACCTTTCAAATAATCAAAAATTAAATTAAAATAAATATACAAAATTAAAACCAATAAAGTGAATAAATAAATAAAATAAAATAAAATAAAGAAAACATTCAAAAAAAAGCATGCAATTACACCCATAAAATCACATAGGAGCACATAGGATCAAGTAAAATCAAAATAAAGAGTAGAGTATACCTCCCTTGAGTTGGTGACCTAATGAAATGAAGTTACTCTCTTTCTACCCTCCAACACGAAAAAAATGATTAAGGTACCACTTTAATTAACAAATAATCATAAGAAATGAAAATAAACATGAAATTGAACAATTAAAACATTTAAATGAACGTAAACAACCCATATTCAAGAAATTAAAACAAGCAAGGACCTAATTGAAATAATTAAAGAAGTTTTAGGGGTCAAATCATTTTTATTACAAATGTTAGGGTCTAAATTAAAATAAAATAAAATTCAGGGCTTAAGGTGAAACCTATCAAAGCCAAATGCTAAAATTCACAAAAATAAATCAAAACCCTCTCACCAAATCCCAAACAACAAATATTACCCAAATCTAAACCATTTTCAAAAATCCAAATCAAAAACTATAAATCTATCAAAAATTATTAAACCTTCAAATTTTATCCCAAAACTCATAAATAATCTACTAAAAAATCATATTAAAGCATGCCAAAAGCAATTAAGATTTTGAAGGGACAAAATTGATTATATTTTCCCCAAATTTCGGGCCAAAATAGCATTAGATAAAAATTAAGAGGTTAACGTGCAATTTTTGAAAACTTTTCATGCAAAGCTTCGAAGAGCTTTCTTATTCAACCGTCTGCAACTTTGCAATGAAACATTTCAGGTCAAATGCAAGTAACAAAACCCAAACAAACAACAATCTTTCAAGCCAAAACAACACTTTATGCATCTTATCATCTAAATCCATCCTTATACCATGCATCCCTCAAAGATTTCCAACCCAGATCACGCGCAAAGGAAACCAAAGAAACAGCTTTTAATTCGTTAATCTGCAAAAAATTGGGTAGAGGAGTAAACATTCTCTGTCCATGGTTTCTAAGCAGAATTCATAGTTCCTGATACACATCAAATGAATAAAATAGCCAGTACCAAACCCATCATAATCACAAGAACAACGCAACAGAGGGATAGTCACGATCATTTGCAAAGACAAATCTTAGAAAAATCACACAAAATGGCCCTAAATCTTCATGAAAACTGTGTTAAACTCACAGAGAAAGAAATCATAGTTACCTGAGAATGTTGGTGAAGTGAAACAAACGTGAAACACCCCAAGAAATCGTGCTAGTTTCTGAAAAATGATACCCATGAAGCTTTGCTGCAGAAAAATTCAGCGCTGATAAAGTCTCTACTTTGGACCGAGATTTGAAGGCTTTTGAGGTGTTTTCGATTCACAATTGCTGAATAAAAATTGTTCCAAGATATCCAAGGAGGGTATAGAAACAGAAACATCCCCAAACTAAGCACTATCGCAACCAAAATTTAGCAAGGAAAAGGGATGATTCGTCAGCCAGATAATGGGTTTCTGCAAATTTTTCTCCCTCCTCTCTCTCAATTTTCTTTCTTTTCCTCTCGTTTCCTTTGCTGTTTTCTTTCCTAATCCTCTCCAGACTCTCCCCAGGTTTTTTCTTTGCTGGTTTCTTCTTTTTCCTTCCCCCTTTTTCTCCCTTTTTCCCTTTTTCTGTTTTCTTCTTGTCTGAAACCCTATTTTCCTTTTTTTTGTTTTTTCCCAGATTTCCTTCACTCTCCACGGTCTCCTCCTTCCTCTCACTCTCCTCAGATGCTCTCCTCCTCTCCCTTCCAACCCTCTTGCCTGTTTTTTCTTTTTCTCCCTGTCATGGAGCAGAAGTTAGCTAAGAGAAGTTGAAAACGTGAAATTAAGTACCGCGCCTTCAAGTAAGTAACTTCAAGCAAACGGCAGACGTGGAATACTGGCATCACGCCTTTATGAAGTAAAGAAGACGTGCAAAATAAAGAAGATTGCAGGTGGAGGCGTAGGGATCAGAATCACGCCTTTCCTGGGAACAAGCTCAAGCAACGTGAGCTTCTGAGCAAGTGGCTCTACAACGGATTCTGTTAACCCTCACATGGCTGAGCTGGATTAGGAAGCGACAGAGGAGCTGGTTATTAGCTAACTCTATATAAAGATAGGATCAGTAGTAGAAAGGGGAGGATTTTGTTAGCTATTGTAAGGGATCATTCCCTGAGCATTTTCTCTTTCTGTTTTCCTTCATTCTGTCATTTCCTTTCCTCTTTTCGCCAATTCTGTAATCTACTTATTTGATCAATATCAATATCAATTCATTGGGTTATTCATCAGTTCGTTATTGATTCTTCCTGTTATTAATCTTTTGTTTTGCGCTAGTCTCATAAACCAATCCATTGGAAGCTGCTTTGTTGCCTAGTTACTGTTTGATACCATCACAGTGGTATCAGAGCTAACTACGAGCCATTGGGACATGACTAAAACTCAGGAGGAAGCTCTGAGAAGGGAGCTCACTGAGTTGGGGAGTGTGGTGAGGACTTTTGCCAGTAAGAATGATGGGATAGAACAGTCTATAAGGGCAATAGAGCATAGGCAGGAGAGCACAGATAAAGCCATCAAAAATTTAGATCAGAAATATGAGGGGATGATGAACATGATGGCTCAGATCATGGCCAAACTGAATGACAAGGGGAAGGAGGTAGAAGGGGGTAGTTTTGGGAGTGAGACTAGGATAGCAATTACCACAGATACAACTGAGAGGGTGGGGAGTAAAGGGGGAGCCAGGCTACCAAAGATGGACTTCCCTACATTCGATGGGAACAATCCCAGAGAGTGGGTTAGAAGGGCAAACAAATACTTTCAGATCCATGGAGTGGAGGAAGGCCTGAAATCAGACATTGCTCAACTCCATCTCCAAGAGAAGGCAGACATCTAGTTCCATGGCATGTACCACGAGAAGAGGATAGTTCCATGGAAGGAACTAGCAATGGCAGTGTGTGAGAGGTTTGGGAAGGGAGATCCAGAGGAGGCCATAGAGGAATTCAACAAGCTGATGAAGACGGGAAGTGTCACTGAGTACCTAGAGAAGTTTGAACAACTGAAATCTATGGTAATGTTATCTCTTCCTGATCAACCTGATTCCTATTACAAATCATACTTTTTTAGTGGCTTAAAAAAGGAAATAGTAAGTATGGTTAGGATGACCAGACCCCTCACCTTAGCAGACACCATTGAAGCTGCTAAATTACAGGAAAGGAACTTGGAAGCCATTAGGAAAACACAAGGGAAGATGATGCACAAATACACACCCTCACCTGGTACCCCACTTGTTAACAAACAGAATTTCACCCCACATACCAAAATGAAGTGGCCTAACTTCCAATATAAGAAGCTAGAGCCTGTTTCCAATCGAAATACCAAAACAGGAACTCATGCAGTAGACCAATTTAGAAAAATCACTCCCTCTGAACTGAGTTACAGGAGAGAAAAGGGGTTGTATTTCAAGTGTGCTGAGCCATATACACTGGGACATGTCTGCAAACAAGCTCACCTGAATTACATACTGATAGATGATCCCTGGGGGGTAGGGGAGAACTCAGATGAACCAGGGAAGGATACAGAAGAATTCTGTGATTGTCCAGAAGGGGAATTAAGTAATGAAAATATAGAACTATCCATCCATGCTCTGGCAGGGGGGACTGAACATAAGACCCTTAAGCTAAGAGGGAAGATAGCAGGGAGGGAGATCATAATTCTGGTAGATAGTGGGAGCACTCATTGTTTTATTGATGAAAGGTTAGCAAAGATCATTCAACTACCAGCTATTGGAAATCCATTGACAGTCAGGGTTGCCAATGGTGAGCAGTTGAAGTCTAGGCAACTGCAAGGACCCTTACAGTGGGAAATGCAGGGAAACAAGTTCACACATCAATTCAATACCTTGAAGCTGGGAAGCTACCACATGGTTTTGGGAGTAGACTGGCTAGCCAGGTATAGCCCTATTGAGTTTGATTTCAGGCAACTCTCCATGAGGTTCCTACAAGGGAGTCAACTAGTGGAGCTGAAGAGGGAAGTCAGTGAGCTTAAACTCAAGGCCATCAAAGGAAGTAAACTAGCAAAATGGAGGAGAAAGCAGGCGTATGGGATAACTGCCCAGCTGTATGTGATGGAAGAAGGAAAAAAGGACACTGAAGTAATACCGGCAGAGATGAAGGAATTGCTGGACAGGTTTGATGAAGTGTTTGTTGAGCCCCAAGGCATGCCTCCAAGGAGGAGCCACGACCACAGCATTCCATTGAAAGAAGGAGCTACCCCATTCCAAGTCAGACCATACACGTGCCCCTATGTACAAAAATCAAAAATAGAGAGGTTGGTGAGAGAAATACTGCAGATGGGAATCATTCAGCCTAGTAACAGCCATTTTGCATCTCCAGTGTTACTAGTCAAGAAGAAGGATGGAAGTTGGAGGTCTTGTGTGGACTACAGGCAACTTAATGAACTCACCTTGAAGGACAAATTTCCTATGCCACTAATAGATGAGCTTCTTGATGAATTACATGGCTCAAAATACTTCACCAAGATTGACTTGATGTGACGACCCCACCTCCCCCTAAGGCGAACCAGAGGGTTCGGCGGGCCGCCTGCCCGGCTCTCGCCGGGACTCAGTCGTTCACTAAAGTCCTCAAACAAATTACAAGAATAAACCTCAAATATACATCACATGGTCCACAAATATACATCCAAGTCTCCAATAATTACATGTCACAATTGCAGCGGAAACAATTCCCAAATATACATAAAATGATTCCAAATTCAAATTGTACAACATAAAGGCCATCCATTCACGTGAATAAGCACAACAAGTCCTGCCTTCGCCTTGAGCCCTGTGGAGGGGAATAAAATATTTTTGGGGTAAGTTAGAAGCTCAGCGAGTAACCAGCAAAATCATTAAGCAAATATATTTCACAATGTTGCATTTCGATGATTTCGATGATGTCATGATTCAGAGATCAAATGTCCGTTTAGTACTCTCGTGAGCCGGTGAAATCATAGCACTTAAACACCCAACGCTCAAATATTTCATTTAACATTAACTCACGAACTCACGAAAGTGGGAGCAACATCGGTGCTCCAGATAACCATGAACATGAACCATAAACAAGGTGGAGACGTTGGTGTCCAGCACAAGACTTTCCCAGAACTCATTGAAGCCAAATCATGTCATGAATTCACATGCAAGCACGCATGATATGCAATCGAATAATTAATGCAAGAAACATTTCACAAGTACTTTGGAAATAGTTTAGGGTCACTCACCTCCACGGCTCCGAAACCATCTATCATGTATCATTGCCTTGCTCAAATCCAAGTCCTAAATCACAAACTCAATGCAAATAAATTCCTTCAAAAGTTCGGACAGCACTTCCCCTGAATTTGCTTACTTTTCCAGCCGTTATGGCTTCATGATTTCCTCATTCCAACCCAAAGGTACACACACAACAACAAGTTCATCCAATAGCCATTCAGCAAACTCCAAGTAGTACAAAGACAAGTCAAGCTAGGGAAAAATTCGGAAATGAAAGTTAAGCTCAAAACCAGAAAAATAGTTTTGACGTCATTTTGCGGTAACGGTGTCAAAAGCACTACGATGGTCGGATGAAGGTGCAAGACCCACCGTTTCGAAGCTAAGAGATAGGGCTACAATATTATAGAAGGTCAATCAACCCATTTTTGAGTGTAACCAGGTCAAAAATGCAAGATACTACACCTGAATCACAAAAACAGATTCACAGAACGCATTCTAGCGGAAACATCATAACTCAGGCTCTCCAAGTCCAAATCCCGAAATTCCAAAACCAGCTGAAAGGTAAGAAACAGGGATAAATTTCATCAGAAGGCCTCAACAACCAATTCGGAAGCAATTCCAGCCAAAACAACCAATTACAGTCGCATATCCCAATTTCGGGTAAACCAGAACAGCAATAGTAATTTTGACGTATCTCACTCTACACAACTCCGATTGACCTGAGATTTTTTAGGCACCTTTAAAATGTCATTCCCTAAAACTTTCATGTTTTGAGCTAAGGCCAATTCGGCTTCTATCTAGGACCTAAAAATTCGGACAGAATGTTCATCACAAAACCCTCACTTTTCAATTTTTGGTCCAAAACAGAAATTGGTTGCAATTAATCACTTTTTCCACCTTCTAGAATCATTAAACATCATTTCCAATCATCATACATAACCACATAATCATACTCATATTAAAACAGAAAAATCCCCAAAAATAATAAAAGTTCATCCATCCAACCACAACTCAAAATATAATCCATCAAACCATCTCTTTAGCCATCATAAGTCTCTAATTTAGCATAATCAAGAACAAAGAAAGGATGGCTAGACATGATACCTTCACATATCAAGAAAGGTGATGACTTAGGGATTTTTCTTCCAAAACAACTCCACCAAGAGCTTCAATCTTCCTTAGCTAGCAAGTTTTATGGAGTGATTTGCAATTTAATCGGTTGGAACTCAAGATTTGGACAAGAAATTGAAGTGCAAGATGCTAGATTTTCTCTCTCTTTTTCTCTCAAAATTTCGTCCAAGACAAGCTAAAATGGAGAGAAATTGGGTCCAAATTGGTTTTAGTAAAGTTAAAAAAGTCTTGGTCAAAAGTCAAGGTCCAATGGTTTTGTGACAAATGGTCCTTTAGGGTTTTAATCTTATCTTTTTGTCTCTCCAATACAAATATCTTAACACATTGTAAAATAATATCACTTAATACAAAATTCCAACAAGTTATCAAAAATATAATGCATTTACCGCACTTGCGGGTCCCACGTCCAAAATACGCTTTTAATTTCTCAAAAACTAACCGATACTAGAATATCAGAGCTTAGGCTTCAGATCTCTGTAGTGTATCCTAGGCTTGAAGTTTAGGATGCCGGACTGTGGGTTTGATTTGACTCTTAGTGTTTACTTGGAATGCTTTAGTGATTCTTGCGGGATATCTCGACTTGATTGGTACAAGATGGAATGTCGAGGACGACATTCTTTTAAGGAGGGGAGATTGTGACGCCTCGAAAAAAAATGAGTTTGAGAACCTGAAAATTTTCTAATTTTCTAGGGTTTATTTTATTTAATCGCCCGCCTTTTCTACATTTTCTTTATTAGAAAAATTCCTCAGATAAAGTTTATGAGCAAAAATAGTTTTAAAATGATTTTCTAGTATCGGTTAGTTTTTGAGAAATTAAAAGCGTATTTTGGACGTGGGACCCGCAAGTGCGGTAAATGCATTATATTTTTGACAACTTGTTGGAATTTTGTATTAAGTGATATTATTTTACAATGTGTTAAGATATTTGTATTGGAGAGACAAAAAGATAAGATTAAAACCCTAAAGGACCATTTGTCACAAAACCATTGGACCTTGACTTTTGACCAAGACTTTTCTAATAAAGAAAATGTAGAAAAGGCGGGCGATTAAATAAAATAAACCCTAGAAAATTAGAAAATTTCCGGGTTCTCAAACTCATTTTTTTTCGGGGCGTCACACTTGAGGGCTGGTTACCATCAGATCAGTGTCAAAGTGGAAGATATACATAAGACAGCCTTCGGAATTTACCAAGGCCTTTATGAGTTCAAGGTTATGCCTTTTGGCCTGACAAATGCCCCAGCAACATTCCAGAGCCTCATGAATCACATTTTCAGGGATCAGTTGAGGAGGTATGTCCTGGTTTTTTTTGATGACATACTAATTTACAGTCCCTCTCTGGAAGTGCACCTGCAGCAGGTAGCAGAGGTACTGAACATATTGCAGGAACACCAGCTGTATGCCAAGAGGAGTAAATGCTCCTTCGCACAAACAGAAGTGGAATACCTTGGCCACATTATCTCAGAAGAAGGAGTAAGGGCAGATCCAAAGAAAGTGGACAGTATGATGAAATGGCCCAAACCAGCTTCTGTTAAGGAGCTCAAAGGATTTCTTGGTCCAACAGGATATTACAGAAATTTGTCAAGGGATATGGGGCTATTGCAAAGCCTCTCACCATATTGCTGAAAAAGGATGGATTCCACTGGAGTACATAAACAGATGAGGCTTTCCAGAAGCTCAAACTAGCAATGTGCAACACCTCTGTGCTAGCCTTGCCTGATTTCACCAAGCCATTTGAAGTAGAAACTGATGCTTGCTATGGAGGAATTTGAGCAGTGCTGATGCAGAACAGGAGACCGATAGCATTCTTGAGCCAAAGCCTGGGTCCCAGGAACCTGGGAATGTCTATTTATGAAAAGGAATTTTTAGCCTTGGTAACTGCTGTTACTAAATGGAGGCACTACCTGGAAGGGGGTCACTTCATTGTTAAGACTGACCATTAGAGTCTTAAGTACCTCCTAGACCAAAGAATCACTACAACACTTCAGCAGAAATGGCTCACCAAGCTGCTAGGACTTAGCTATGAGATTCAATACAGAAAAGGGAAAGAAAATGTAGCAGCAGATGCTCTGTCCAGGAGGGCAAGCAAAGAGGAAGGAGATTGTACTGAGCTGATATGTGTCATTCCTGAGTGGATGAAGGAGGTTATAGGAAGCTATCAAGGGGATGAAGAAGTATAGAACCTGGTCAGACAGCTAATACTCACACCTAGTAATCCATCATATGACGCTCGGAAAACAAAAAAAAAAGAAAAAAAAATCTGGTTCGCTATGTTTTTGGCGAATCCGTCCGGAAATCCGACCAGTTTCTGGCCGGATACCTGGCCGAATTGCCTTGGAGTTTTGAAAAAAAAAATGATTTTGCCACTGCCTTGAATCCGGCCAAGAATCCGACCAGATTCCGGTCGGATTGTGATGTGGCATGTCGGCCATCAATTTTGAACAGCTAATTTTCTTCCTTCTTATCTTGTTTTTGGCTAAAATATCTTCACTTTTTGCTCCTTGCTTGGCCGGCTGTTTGGGAGAGAAATAAGAGAGCAAAGTTCTTCATTTTTCTAGTTTTAATTTCTTGTCCAAATCTTGAGATTTCACCGATGGTTTTGGCAAATACTCCATACAAGTATGTACAAAGGAGGTTTAAAGCTTTTGGTGGAGTTGTTTTGGAAGGGGAAGCTTTAAGGTGCTATCTTTCTTGAGTTATAAGGTGAGTTGTTAAGAAATTCTCTTTTGGTTCTAATCTTGGGTAATTAGTGGCTTGTAAAAGTTAGAGATGCTATATTGTGGATGATTTTATGATTTTAAGAAGAGTTGGACCAATTTCTGAGTTATTGGGGATTTTTCTGATTTTATATGATTATGGTTCATTGGTCTTGGAATGATAGCTTGTTGTGGTATAAAATGGAACTTGTATACGTTGGATACGATTGTTTGCGGAAAATTTCTGATTTGTGCGAAAATTCCGGTTTCTAGGGTTTAATTTGGGGGTTTTCTAATGGTGGGCTTTTAAGCTTGCAATTGGCTTTAATTGAAGGGTTTTGTGGCCCAATTGGATGTCTTTTATTGCTTGTTAATCGTATAGGTGATTGTGGTTGATAGTTATGGATTTGGTGAATGTTTGTAGGTTGGGAAAATAAAGAAAATAAGGGGAAATGCTGTCCGATC